AGCAGGCAGCTGTGTAGCACCGTGTCCCAGCCACCCCTGGTCACTGTCTACACGTGTGTTGTGGCAGAGTAAATAACCCCATCATAAAAGAGTACTTGTATTGGGCAGTACTATCCTATGGCAGAGTTAATTAGTTTACTCCAGCCTAATAGCACCGTTCGTGTAGACAGTGGGCGCATCTACACGTGAGAATTTACTGTGCAGTAACCAAAACTACTGCACAGTACAAACACACATCTACATGTGCACGCCTGGGCTGTGCAGTAAATATGGCGACTTACATCGACTTGAGCATAAATTTGATACCTGCATCAAGCAGGTATCAAACTTACATCTGATTAGTTACTGCGCACTAACACACATGTAGATGTCTTATCGAGCACTATTACTTTGCATGTGGACTGACTAGGGACTAACCTGCATCAAGCAGCTATCAAACTTACATCTGATTAGTTACTGCGCACTAACACACATGTAGATGTCTTATTACTTTGCATGTGGACTGACTAGGAATTAACTTTAGTCCCAAGTCAGTCCACACGCAGCATTAATGCGCTTTAATGCCTGCATGTGTAGGTGCTGGGCTATTCCCACATACTTCACAGTAATTTACTGCGCAGTACATTTAAGCTGGTGTAAATGCACATGTAGACACTCCCAGGGATGCTTTACTGCAAGCTAATTAGGCAACTCTGCAGTAAGCATCTCTTGTAGATGCACCCAGAGATACAGGCCTGTAGTGAATGGGGCAAAATTCTCTTTGTCAATGCTGCTGCATCATCCTGCACTGGCAGGGGCCTTATTGCCTGTAGCAGGTGATCTCTTTGGGATACCTTAATAAAGCCAGGCTTCATTCTCCCCTCCAGTTTACACTGGTATGGCCGCAGTGTCAGAGCTGTTGTGGTGCAATGGAGAATCAGGGGGAACGTAGAACGTGTTGGCCAGTGCCTCAAAATGCACAGCGTCTCTAACCTGATTATCTAGGACAGGGGTGGGCAACCTATGGCCCGTGGAGCCACAGCTTTGTCAGCAGTCAGCGGCAGGAGCAATGCCTGCACCGCACCACAGCTGGGCAGTAGGGAGAAGAGGCTGCTGGATCCCAGGGTGGCTCACCTCAACCCTAAGCCAGATCGTTCCAGCTTACAGCCAGAAAACTCTGCCAACCCCTAGTCTAGGATGTTCTGCCATGAAAATATGTTACTGAGACATGAGCTGGATTTTACTTAAATCTACTGCAATGGTACCCATCCTTCTGAGACAAGAATTGCCTCTTTGAAATCCCCAGCTGAAGAACGTACATTGCCGTTCCCGGTGGCATCTGAGCTCCGCGGGTAAAATTCACCCCAGTTAAGAACGCTTGTACAAGCCACTGAGCCGCACACGAACCTTTCTAAAAAGGGGTCCCTTCACCTCCGCAGTTACATTTCTGCCTGGAATTCCTCCGGCCGTGAGTGCTTAAAACTACTGAGCGGGGAAAAGCCATTCTTCTTCCTTCCCCCTGTTTACTTCGAGCATTTGACAGCACTTTGGGCATAGCTGGCCTCACCTGTCTACTCAGCTACTTCTTCGCTTGCTGAAAGACTCGTATAAACATCAACAATGGAGCAGGGGGGAAAGCCTTGGTAGAAGGAAATCTAAATGAATATGTTTGTTTTCCTTAATCAGGAGGCTCTCTTTTTACGAGCCCCGTGGGGGGGAAAGAAAAACAAAAGAGGCTTTTTAAAAATTACTTTTAAAAATTTCAATTCCACAATGTCCCATTCGCACGCAAAACAAAGGGCTAAATTTTGGCTTCTGTGGCGGCGTCCAAATGAGTGCAGCTATGTGGTATGTGGCGCAGCAGACACATCCGCGGTGCCACATACTGCATGTTCGGTTGTTTTCTGCGCTGCAAGAGAGCAGCGCAGGGGGCTTTTTTTTGACCCCTGGATATCCAGAGGTCAAAAAAACTCACAGCCAAAAAAAGCAGACTAGTGCACACAGCGGCAGTGTGTGCTGCCCAACACCGGAGCCTGGCCAGCTGGAGCCGCACTCCACTGCCGTCCGGGCTCTGCATGGCAGGAGCGATGCAGCTGCAGCCCCGGGAGGACCCCAGATAAGGCTGCTGGGGCCAACCCAGTGCTGGCCCCAGACTAAGCCAACCCCATGTGGCCGAACGTGCCATGCACCAGAGCTCGTGTGGCATGGGCATTCCCCTGGGACAACTCATGGCATCACAAGGTATACCGCTGTTAGTTGTCCCTGGGGAACCAAACATCCATGCACTTCTGGACGTGGCCTGCGAGGCACTGGGGAGACCTGCCCCAAGTTTCAGTGGGGTCACTTTTTGGCCCCATAGCTCAGCGTGGTTCCTAAAGGGCTATATGGGCTTTTCTCATTGAGGTGAGTGACAGCCGTTATCTACAGGCCTTTGCGGAAGGGTAACAAAGCCACCCGTTGGGCAGCTTGGCTGAACGCCTTTTTTGCACTCTCACATCAAAACATCAGGCTTCACCCGTTGTTTCAGACAACTTCGTGCAGGATAAAGGCAGCACACGGCTCCCTTTGCTGCTTTAACCCTGAAGCCTTCTCATCCGTAAGGCGGTGGTAGCCTTAGGGTTGTTGGGACCCTGGCCAAGAGAGCCACTTGGGGCCCCTTAGAAGCTTAAATTTAATGACCTATAAGCAAGTCTGACATTTTTTATTTCGATTTCACTGCAAGTCATAATAAACCTATTTTATTGACAGCCATCTTATGAATAATACTGCAAAAACTTCACCCCCCCCCCCCAAAAACAGTTGCAAAATTTTGGGGCCTCCTAAAGTGTGGGAGGCTGCTAGTGCCTCCCCTAAGGCCGCTAGTGCCTAAGGGCTATTCCAAGTGAATCCAGCTGCAGTGACACCCAAGGGGCTGCTATCCCAGTTGGAAATCACCTTTCCCTCTTCCCCTCTCTGCTTGTCCACCGCACAGCCTCCCTGCATGCTTAGATGCTGCCAAGAAGGACAGGCATGCCGGCTGTACCCCAGCCAAGTGCAAAGAGACAGTAACAGCGACCACAATCTGGGCTGGGGCAATCCATGCATTTCAGTGCTCAGCATTCACCCGTTTTCCCAAAAACCTGTGTGTGGTACAAGTGGTATTTCACAGCCTGTGAAATTCTGGGGGTTTAGAAAGTGCATGCTTCTGGGTTGCAGCGTCTGCCAGAATCTGGTCTGTCACGAGAAATGCTGCCATTTATAGATTCGGGGACGTAGCCTGTTGGGTATTTACTGTAGATACCTGGGCAGAAAGCCACCAGTCCTTGGGAGATCCCTGCCCTCCCAGAGCACCACAGCACGTCTCTGCAGTAACATGGCCTACTGAAAGCCCGTTTCCTCTGCTTGCTACACTGATTTCCCATAGAGCATTGAGTCAAGTTCAAGGTCTTGGTTTTTATCTTCAAGATGCTCTGATGCATGCACCTTTGTTAAAAACTCTGCTCCTCTAGCTCTACCATCTGTACAGCCTATCTGTACAGGAGACCATAATTTCCCACTGACCGTTCAAATACCAGGGGATGAACTCCCATAGGATGAAGGACCAAGGACCTTGCCATGTTCCCCTCCACATACACGGTGCACTTCTTCAATCTGGCCTTTTCTCCTATAAGGATGTTAAAATGAATACGCAGCAGAACACAGCACGCACAACTCTTCTGCTGAGAGGGTGCGAGAGAGAGAAACAACCGCGTATGGCAGAGTTAAGTCCTGTCTGCCAACACAGTATGTGAAGGCACTCAGAGATTACAGTGATGAAGATAGTATAAGAATCTAGGGAGAATGCAGAACGTCTTACTTTCTCAAGCAGATCTTGGCTAATTTTGTTTAAATTAACAGGATGGGGAGACAGGGAATGGTGGAACATGCTGACAACATCCCAGAAAAGAAATACCTCAGTAGCCAGATCCTATTCCACCTATTAAGCCTCCAGTCAAACTCCTGTTCCACCCTAAACAAGTCCCTAAAAAGTGGTTGATATGGCAGGCGGGTGGATCGTCTTCCTCCTTGCTGCTTTTTGTGGCTTTGTTTCAATGCTAAGATGACCACCTGGTACAAAACGAGATGCATTCATGGAGTTTCAGTCTCAGCCAGGGCCAGAGATGATCACACTAAACCAGGAGTGGGCCTAATATGGCCCGTGGGCCAGCTCCATCCTGCCAAGCACTTTCATCTGGCCCGCGGTACCCACCAACAAATTGTGGCCCACCCAGTCCTTCTGCCCATGAGGGTGGAAGCGAAGCGCTCATGTGTACCCCCCCCCCCCCCCCAAACTACACAAACCCCCCCTCGTCCCCCCCCCCTG